ATACCTTAAAATCTCCACCACTGGCACGTCCAATGAATTCGAGAAGGGTGCGAAAAAGTAGCTATTAATAGTGGTAATGTGTGTACAAAAGCTCAGTCCTGTAGTTCAAACGATTCCTAAGATATTGGCGAAAAACAAAAAAAAAATAAAGATTTGACACCGTGTATCTCGAACACGAAAGCCCGGAGAGAAAAATGGAAGAGGAAAATAATGTTTCTTTTTTCAAGAGGAATTTACAGTTTTCCGTTGCGACACTTATTTAGGAACACCCTGTATATGTATTTGTTGTGTTGTTAATTATAAATGTTTTTTAAAAGACTTCAATTAAAATGGCATATTTCTGAAACTGAGATCCTTAATTTGTTCATCGAAAAAAAGTCTTCTGGAGAAAATCGCTTCACAAACTTCTAATGATATAGTGTCATCATAGTTATTTATAATTCGTTGATTAGCAATCTTAACCCGAATACACATTAGTAGTCGCCATAGAAAGAAGGTTAAAAATTTCCGTAGATAATTCTTTTGTAATTTATCTCCTAATTTTCCTTTTATTCGCAGATGTCTTCGCGTAAAATCATGTATGATTGACATTTTGAAATAATTTTCGCCATATCCATCGCAGTTATTCTATGTATTCTCAGTGTCTTCTCTTGTCTGCATCTGTACCATTGTTCAATACAAGATCTGCATATTAATGCCAGTCTTTTGATTTGTATCTTCCTCGGCATTTTTTCCATTTTTGTTAACACTGCATTAAAAGTACAATATTTATCGTGAACGATCGTTCTTTAAGCAATGTTTATATTTTTTGTACTCGAAGGTATCAATTTTTAATACGTTGAGTTTAAAACTCCAGAGAAGTAGCTCCTAAAAATTTTATGGCTATCTATGAAGATTCACTTTTCCATAGGAAGAACCCGGGATTCTTAGTTGACAGTACCAGCCGTGCAATGTTGGTTGTCTGAGCTCAGCGGTCACGTGACTTGCAAACACTTCTGAAGGCTCTGTAAATATTATGAAGCCCTTTGTAAGGCATAACTAAACCGACTTTATAAACCGCAAGAAATTTTTAACCCTTGTCGTATTTTCTTAATCCCCACATTTCTCGCTTTTAAATAATGCAAAGCCACCCCCGGAACTACGCCCTCTCACCCCGGAATTGGCTTAACTAATTCTCGAATTTCTTATTCAGTTTCAGAGGAAACGAAGGATCGTCGCCCGAGTGCAGTGCCGCAGCATTAAAAATGAATGCCCGGAGCCCACTTGCGAGGAGCCCGTCCTGCTGCCCGGACGATGCTGCAAGAGTTGCCCCGGGGATACGTACAGTAAGTAGTCCTGAATATTTCAACGACGGGAGACTTTTTCTGGAAAAAGGGGACTCCCGTCGACGCTAGTTATGTCAAGGTTCGAAAAAAAGCACGGTACGCGTTAATAATGGATGAAGTAATCTTGAAAGTACATAATCGTTACGAGATAACTGCAAATGAAAATTATCTAAGAAAAACGAATCTCCTTGAAGTTAATGCATTTTTTGACGACTAAAGTCGAGGTTTGTTGAAAGGTCGATGTCACAAACACATTTACTCGATAGTCGATTTTTTGTTATCGAAAATCCTTGCGTGAATTGAAGTCAGATAAACTTTAACGGAATCATATTTCCGCATAGATCAGTATGACATAACATCAAACAATTGCATTATTTAGTTGCAAGTTCATTGGATCTTGTTGCAGTAAGACTGTACAGGGTGTTATAGTCTCTCCGAAGTCAGTTGAACAAGTAAAAAAACGCAGGGCAATAAAATTTAATGAGTTTCATAGGAGTCCCTAAAAAAGTTTACTGATAAGGTAAAAAATTATATGTTCATTTGGCCAACAACATATTTTAATTATTTATATGTCCTCAAACAATGTTATTATATTGATGGTAAATTTCGTTTTGTTCCGTTTCAAAAGGTCTCTAAAATGTCATGTTGCAAAAATATTCTTTCTCCCTTTCGCATTTGTAATATCAATGATTAATAGAAGGTGCCTATAATAAATTAAAATTACCTGAATCACACCAAATTCTGCATTGCTGCACTGCACTGCTGCACAATTTGTCGACAACTTGTCAACGACTGAGATTTATTGCCCAGTGGCCAGATGCAACTGCATCTGTATTTCGTTTGGCCGCGCTCGCATTCTTCAACTGGGCGTATACATTTTTACCACCTCCACGTTTAGTTCGACCAGACCTGTATATGGGTATGGCTAAATAAATATGGGAACAACTTTTTCAAATATTTCAATGCCGAGTTGCTACGTCAGCGACCGAACCTGGTACATACTGCCATCCTCTTGGTTCTTCAATTGATATCGGAAAGACTATACAATATTCCACCGCGTCGATAAAATTATGTCAGGTGTTCCGCCATTAAAGTCCTTTATGTTTCGTGATATGAAGTAAAAAATGCATAAAACTTTTGTCTAATATCTAAAATTGAGAAAACAATTGAGCATCGGGTTACAGGTATTTTTTCATGTATTCGGCGAAAAAATTCCTTAGAATTGCAGTGATTTAAAGTTTATTTCTAATAATAAGAGATAGCTGAAAGGTGCAAAATATAAATATTCGTAATAATTAAACAAAGATTAAAATTTTACTCATTTCGTCTGGTGCAAACTTGCAATCTGAAGGATTAACAGAAACCTAAGATAGAACCACTTACTCCCTACTATAGTGTAGTGCAGGAACGTGATATATTGCATGGCACTTATCTCTTTCTTGCACCACATATGTGTTATTTTTTTGCTTGATATTTGCTCTGGCCATTTGTTTATCTTAAATGTTATTATTTTTCTGATTGATAAGTGTGTCTAATAATTTTGTATCAGGAAAAACATTTTGTTACTTATCCACTTTTCCATCTGGTGCAAATTTAAAAACAAAAAATAATAACGTTTTCACATCTAACACCATAAGTGGTTTACTGAGAATAATGTCATTATTTATATAAATAATTTATTTTAATTCAGAAACTACTTATATTTTAGAAAATCTAAAAGTTTTCCACAACTTTTATCCTTATATATAATAAGAAAATAATATATAACTCAGTGGTTTCTCTGGACAAAACTAAAAGAAAAATTTATATGAATCTAAATTTATAACGGTTTTAAAGATGCAGGTGTAAAACTTTTATTATTTTTTTAGTTCTCATTTTTGTGTTATGTCTTTCCTAGTAGATGGACAGTACCAGCAGTCTTATTCGGTGGACATTTGCCATTAGATTTATAACCATATTAATTTATTTCTATATTTGCTACGAAGTAAATGGCGTCTCTAAGACGTTTAAAAATATGTTAACTGTATTAAATATAGTCATCATTTTGTTTATTATTTTTCCCATCTCTAGCTTCGTTTATACAGGTTGTCCCGAAATTCATGCAACAAAATTTGGACATAGATTCTTAAGACAAATTTAGGGGACCCGTGTTTTTTCTTTTTGCCAACTGGCCCCCTCTTTTGGAGTTACAGCCCCCTGAAATCTGCCCCTAAGAAGTTTTTCTTATATGTCAAAACCATGTTGTAAGAGAATCACCAAATTTGGTACACAGAGGCTTTATGACATGTGGAATCTCACAGTGCTACGCTTTTTGGCGAAAAACCCCTTTAAGACTCTTTTTCGTGGCCCCCCTTGTCTTTGGAACCAGAAAAATTTGGTCGCAAATTTGATTTTATTAAAAAATTATTAGTTAGGTAGAAAGCCATTGAATTTAGAAACTTTTTTGTCTCTTGATATTTGTTTCGTAAAACGCATTGTTTTTGAGGACAATGGCGATTCACGATATGCATTCAATCACATTTTGACCTTTTTCTCGAAAACATTACTTACGAAAGTATGAAGAGACAAAAAGTTTCTAATTTAGTGGCTTTTTAGTGGACTGATTATTTTTAAAAAATTTAAATATGCGACCAAATTTTTTTGGCTGCAAAGACAAGGAGGCCCACGAAAAATTGTCTTAAAGGGATTCCCTGCCAAAAAAACGTAGCACCATCAGATTCCACATGTCATAAAACCCACGTGTACCAAATTTAGTGATTCTCGTACAACAGGGTTCTGAGATATAAAAAAAAGATTATTCTTAGGGCGGATTTCAGGGGGCTGTAACCCGAAAGAGAGGGCCACTTGGCAAAAATAAAAAATACGGGTCCCCTAAATTTGTCTTAAGAATATGTGACCAAATTTTGTTGCATGAATTTCGGGACACCCTGTATTGTACACAATTGTTTTTCGAATAAGTCAGACTGTATATTATTCTCAATTTCTCCTTTAATGCTACGGCTTCGAAATAATCGCCACTTAGGTGCTTATTTTTTGCCATAATAGTAAAAGCTATTCATACATCGAAATAATACACACATTACAATTAGGTCATATATAATAAAAATATCCTGTACGAGCGCTGTAAGAATCAACTTCTTTTATTTGCATTTTTTTTTCAATATCTTCTTTCTTCTTTTCTCGAGCCTAGGATATTTTATTGTTGTTCCAAGACAGAGTAAATCATGAAAACATTGAATATATTCAATAATTTTAAAATTTCTTTATATGTAGCGGCCCCTATGAAAGCCTAAAAAAACATTAAACGCCCAACAATGTAAACCCCGTTGCTGTACTCCCTTACTTATGCACCGAAGTGTCAAACTATTTATTACAATTTTATTTAAAGGCAGCCAACAGACAAGATAAAAATTTAAGCATGTTTTAAGTAATATTTTGACGAATATCAAAAAAGAAAATCACTATAGCTTATTTCGAATTGTTGGTCACAAAAAGAGTTTTGAATGTAAGGAATTGAATAAAGTACCTATATTGAAAAAAAAGACGTGTAAAATAAATGAGAATAACTGAAATAAATAATAAAACCTGTACCACCCTATATCCCAAAACTGGAGCATTTCTAGCCCTATATGCGTTAATCTAAACGATTTGCTTATAAGAGCCTTTGCCAGTGGAATATTCCAACACCCTGTATAACGCGCCACGCAATACGTTTTGTCGTTCCCATGCCGAAGCCTTTTCCGATTTCTCTTCTGTTGCGATGAAGTCACTTAGATTTAGTGGAGACTCGCAGAGTTTTGCGTCAGACGACGAGCTAAGGAGGCTCTTAAACAAACCAGACGGATTAATAGATACATCAAACTTATTACAGAGGCTCATGCGACTCGTTCGAGCCATAGTAAACAGAGTACTTTTTTCTGTAAGTAGGTCGGTAGGCGCCAGTTAGCAGTTAATCCAGATGGCCTTGTGACTTACTCTACGTACTCTCAAAGTCAATACACTGCGAAAATATCACCTTATTCAGAAAATGCGTTCGACGTTAAGCGCCAACTACGATTCGTTTCAGATATGTGGGGACTCCTACATGGAAAAATTTACCGGTGATTCTGTTATACACTTTCACACCTTCAATTAATTTTATAAAACGCGTACGAACTGACACCTTCTTTTAAAAGACTTAAAATTAGATATTATTAACTTTAAATAATAAATTCCTTCACTAAGATCACCAGATCTCAATCCTATTTTATGTAAACTTCATTTTATGAGGTTGATTGTGAATTTAAAGTTATCGACCACTACGTTTATTGTAACAGCATTCATCTTATTAGTTTCATGATTATCATCAAATTTAGAGAAAAAGGAAAATGCTCTGTCTTGTTTTTTAAATAGTTTATATTTTAAAACTAGATTTTTTTGTATTACTATGTTTTAACTATGAATAACGAGTAGAAATGGCAGTAATTGGACCAATATCGAGAATTACATTTGAGCTAATTTTAAACATCGCAAATATTAGCAGAAACTTGAATAAAGAAATTTATGAATAAATCCGCCTTTGAACTTGAATCAGTTTGTTATACAGAAAAATTATATATGTAGATGAAGAAATTCAACATGCAAACCTTGTTTAATTAAAGTATGAAGGCTTGCAAACAATTGTATCTAATGTAATTAATACGTAATAGTAGTTTTACATTGACAATTTATTGATCAATTAATTCATGAAGTCGCTTCATCAAGAAATTGGACAAGTGCAATACACCAAATCTGCTGTCAAATAACTTCATGAATTTATTCATCAAGTTCTTGACGAATTAAAGCTGTTTTACATTGACAATTTATTGATCAATTAATTGATGAAGTCGCTTCATCAAGAAATTGGACAAGTGTAATGCACCAAATCTGCTGTCAAATAACTTCATGAATTTATTCATCAAGTTCTTGACGAATTAGAGCATGTTCTAATTTTCGTCAATTTCTTCGTGAAGTTCAGAAGT